CCATCTCTTAACAAAAAGCCTAGATAGGTTTGCAAAAGACGTTTGGCACACTTTAAGCTATGTTGATAAATAAGTTTTTAATTTGGCCAGATTATATGTGATAAGCTCTAAATAATAGATCTACGCTTAATTTTTGTGCACTGAATCAGAGAAAAGAAACTGTAGAGTTTTCAAATGAAAAAATAGAAAATTGTTCGAATTTTACATGTCGAAACGGTTTTCTGAAATTTAGAATCCTTTCTGTGTATTTTAATTTTCTCATTGAATAGATTCGTTCGGAAGGTTAAAACTAACATATTCTTGATCAGCTCGAAAAGTTCTATAAAACCATATATAAAAAAGTCAAAAAGAAAAAACCTGTTTCGGTATAGAAAAAACTGCCTCCATACAGACATGTAAGAGGCACATATCCATATTATATATTAGTATGATTATTATTAATATTATATGATCGGCAGGGTTACTAGCAGCAGTTAAATGCCTGTTATCTGCCGTTTTTTGACATTTAAAAAAATGGCAATCAGCCTAAAAGCTAGGTCAAATGTCATAAAAATTCCCTTTAAATGTTTATTAATAGTGTATTAAGTGGCATTTATTTGGCATTAGTTAACACGGTCTAATAAATGACAAAAATGACATTTAATGGTGTCTGTAAAACGACATTTTTTCAGACACTGACTATAATCTGACATTATTTTCACCGTTATTTCAAAGTTCAAAAATAGTCATTATAATGGCTGTTAAATGCCAGTTTTCATTCGATTTTTATACAATTAATATGCCATTTTTTGGCATACAGTTAACGAGCTGTTAATGAACAATTAAATCCCAGTTTTCATCGACCTTGGAAGACGTCAGCAAACATGGGTAACAAATTCTTTAAAATTCCTAAATTTTTGACTATTACTAAAGTTGTAAAAATTGCCCCACACAATTTTCCGTAGTTCTACCGCTTTGAGGATAGTCCGTTGCGTAAATAAGTTTTAACTGGAAAATTCTCTATTTTTTGAACGTAATTGTTCGAAAAATTCTATGCGTGCTATTCAGAATCATTTAATGCTTCATTGTATTTTTTGATCAATGATTTTTAAGTTATAGATCGCAGTTTGAATTAAATTCTCTAGAAAAGTCGTTCGAAAATTTTACAATATGATTTTAATTCATCTCGCGTTTTCGATTAAACTGTCTCATGTAATGTGTCTTCAGGCGAAATAGATCTCTTCTCATATCCTGCAACTCCACATATTTGTTTTATTTTAGATACTGATAATCTCTTATAAATAAAAAATGAAAGCCGAATATTACATTAATCCTTTAACGGGTAGCACCGTCCCGGTAAATGGGAAAAAGGCAGCAAATAGACACAAACCAACAATTCAAACGAGAAAACTCAAAGCCCAAATGGCTGATAGCATGATGCTACCACCATTTGTCGATTTGAGACCCGTTATGACACCTGTTGAAGAGCAAGGAACAAAAATGAACAGTTGGTAAGCAGAAGAGTTGAGTTTTATACCTGACTAAACGATTGGAATATCGCTTTATTAGGATAAGAATATCAATATTATTTTTCTAGTGTTGGAAATGCACTTGCAGGTAAAAAGTCATTTATTTTACTAAAATTAGCTTGAAAGACTAAACGATCAGTGTCAACATGAACTAATGAATGTTACGGATAATGGGGGGAAAATTAGTACGATAGCAGACTCTTTAACTAAACACAAAACAAAGATTAGAATTATAGCTATTAACATTCAGTATTCTTCTATTGTCTTGTATTACAATATTTATTTTTCCCGCATCCCATGTACCGGTTATCTTTCATAATTTCTTTCAAAAAAACGAATATTGTGCTGGAGAAACTGATACAATAGTTTTCGGCCATTCTCCGGATACGTAGATATTGAGAAAATATTCAACACTATTCTACACAAAATTTGTTTTTTTGAATAATATATGTTTCCATTTTGTTGACATATATTCGTAATCAAAAGCGTTGGAGAGCTCTGACACGTCTCATCTTGTTAAGCACATTTTTAACCTCTAAGCATAGTGGACATTTTCCCATAGAGCAGGTGGACATCGAATTTTTAAAGTTAAAAAATTATTATGTCGCATAATATTGTCTTATTGTGTGTCAAATGTTAAGAAAAGTCAAATTCGAAAAAGAATGTTTTTCCGGTGAGAAATCCTTGATGGGGATCCTTGCCCTGAATTTCTGTTAAAAGGATTTTTATTTGTAAAAGTAACAAATTATCCATTATTCGATGGATTTTTATGCGCTGATTCCAAATATCACATTCCTTGTTCAATAAAAATGCTTCTGAGTTGAGAAAATCAGATTTTACCTAAAAACCTAAGAAATTTTTGAGAATTCTAAGCCTCGGTTCAGGAGAAAAATCGCATTCAGCATAAATACAGCTCATGACCGGGGGTATTTTGGTATAGTTTTTCATTAAATCAGATCTGCGGCATTTCCTACGTTTTCATTACATGCTAGAGGTGTTTCCACAGACCGATTCATTTTGGAAAACTTATTATTTTTTTGTACACTTTTAAGTCAAAGCAAAATACTTTTCCAGTAATAAAAAGCTTGAAGCCTCTACATTCAAATTGTGTAGAATTTGCAAATGTAGCTACACTAATTTCTATCGAAAACGCGACTTTTCTCTAGTGATACTATTATCCAGGGTATTTTTCACATTTAAAATTTCGAGTCAAATTAAGTACTTTGAAATAAAAACTTTGACACCATTAGATAGGCCGTTCATCACAGTATATTTTACAATATTTGAATCTTGAAAAAGTGTACTTTCAATTTTTGGCTAAATATCCGCCTAGATGATGCCCACTGTGCAGAGACCGAATCAGATCTTATATGGATGATCCGAACACGACCCGACCCGAAGATTTTCCTACCCGAACTCTATCGATCCGAGTCAGTATTTTTTATGTGAGCCTGAAGCCGAGGCATTTGGAGCCGACCCGAAGTGGTACGAAATTTTTGAAACTTCACCCGAATGACTCGAAAATCACCCATGCTTTAATTAGCGTGAAAATTAAACGAGGGAACCGAGTGCACTTCTAATTCTCTAATGATTACTTAACAGAAGAGCTATGTACTTATTTTTGATGTGGTATACTTAAATTCATTAGATGCCATTTTCAACACAAAAGGCAAAGTGTAGTCAACTAACTTTCTATCAATAAAAAAGAGTTCAGTTACCGAAATATCACAAAGCAATACCGTATACGAACGAGAATTACTAAACACGTTTTTCTATTTTTCTTTTCTTTCTTTGCTTCAACAGTAGTAGGCTGTACATTACACAGTGTTATAGCAGAAAGAAAAAAAACACTGTATTTTCTTTTTCGATAAAAAAGATCCATGTTTGAAAATAGATGAGCAAATCGTAACCGAAGAAACCCTTCTGATTTGTAGGTCTAGTAACCAGACCTAAATAAAACCTGAACATTTTTTCCTCTGACCCGACCTGAATTAATATCTTTTACATCGACCAAAACTCGACCCGATACGACCGGATCCGATTCGACCCGTTTCGGTTTCTGGTGCTAAGTGAGACAATGGTGAGTCTCTAGCATTCTTCTGTTAGAAAGATATAAAGATAAGAAAATAACGAAGACAGTGTTCGAATGATGTTGTCGACTGAGTTACGTAGAAAATGACCATTTTATCATTTAAACTATATCTTACTATCTTATTATTCAATTATTCTAGAGACCAAAAACGCATTTGAAAATGCAGTTGAAACGTATTTTGGTTTTTTGAAATGCGCTTAAACTGCATTTTAGAACATTCTTTTTGTATGCCTCAAAAAATGTATATGGTTTTATATGTATTTCAAAGGACCGAAATATATGTCAACTATGCTTTTAAAAAAAGGTGACTACAAAACCCATAAGCCTGTACACTACTAGTAAAATGATAAACTTCTTTTGTTAGTTTTTTACTCCCCTATAACTTCACTGGCCGTTTTATAAAATATCAGTATTTACTTAAAGATTATTTTCAAATTTGATAATCTAAATCAACTTTGAGGTGTATTCAAACACGGTTCTGGCAATTACCCACCTGTTTTCTTCTATTTAGGTGCCGTGGAATATTTAATGTTCCACGACAGTGGCATACCCATGAGTGTTAGTCGTCTATTCATATTCTACACTGCTCGAGTTATAGAAGAAAAAACTCAACATATCGGGAATAGTGGAGTGACCATTGAAAGTGGAATTAAAGCTTTGCAAAAATTCGGAGTATGTAAAGAATCAACATGGCCCTACGATTCCCGATCCGTCAATCGAATACCCTCACGACAAGCATTTGAAGAGGCGCGACGAATCACCATTGAACCGATGCAAGTCCAAATGGATTTAAATACTATGCGTGAATGTTTGGCCATGGGTTATCCATTTTCATTCGGTCTTAAGTTATTTTCTTCTATGAAATCGGTCGAGTTAAACGGGGGCTACATTCCTATGCCGCAAGTGACCGAGAGGACTTTGAACAGGAAAGGATATCATGCCGTGTTGGCTGTCGGATACGATGATGAACAAAGACATTTTATCATCAGAAATTCATGGGGAACAAAGTGGGTAAGTTTAAATATTACTTGGTTATAAAAATAAGGAAATATTTAATCTCTTTCCAGGGTGATCAAGGCTACGGCTATATTCCTTATGCATATATGACGGATTTCGACTTGGTGGATCCAACCGATGTTTGGGCTGTAATCCAAGTTATTCCGAAACCTATGCACCAGAGACCATTAGGAAAGTCTAGTCGATCACACACACAGCACCACCATTGGCAACATCTCGCTCACAGACAGTTACACCGGATAGTACCGATGAGAAGCAATAGGCTAATGTGGCCATATGGATTCTAAAACAAAATATATTAGGTCTTTTGTACTATTTAAATACTATTTTTATTGTTTTAGGATTTATTTCTAATCTTAACGATGATTACTTCAGTCACAATAGATCATTTTCGTTTTGACGTATTGTTCGGTGTCTCCTTACTGTCTAACATCCATCTCTAACATTTCTGCTCTGTCTAAGACGTCATATTGCAATATTTTGAACCTTGTAACTCATGTACGGCAGGTGAGCACTCTACTACTGAACGACCAATGCCTTTGTACGTATAATGGCAGCTCAGCTGTTGATTGCATATTTTCTTTTTTTAGAAGATTTCCGAACAAAGTCTAAACCAACTCATGCACGGATATAGGTTCTTGACTTGTCTGCAAGAGACTGTGTCTTGAATGAAGAGTTAAAGCGCTCCGGTGAGAAATGACAATTTTTGTCAATAAATCAATTTTAAGAAATATACATGGTTGGATAGCCCAAAGTCTTCTCTTTCAAATGCGCTAAGTTTTATGTCTTTAGTAATTCGATTTAGTGATTTTCTACCAAGATTTCCGGAAAACCTAAAGATCATCTCTTATGTGATAAATTAGCAGACAATGCTAAGGAAAAACAAGCTTGCACAAGGAACACAAACATGCGGTGCATGCGCGGATACATGCGCATCGGAATGACCACGATTGAAAATCTATAGGGACCAGGGATGCACCGAGTCGAGGTACTCGATACCCGATACTTTAGTCTCGAATAGTCTCGAGTCTCGAAAGTTTCGTTCTCGAACAGTCTCGATATAAAAGTGCCAGTATCGAAACTTTTCGAAACGTTTTCGAGACGTCACTTGAGCACGAGTCCGAGAGTTCGAGACGTTAGACAATGTTAAAACTGATTTAATGTACGAAATGAACGTTTCATCGCATTTTATTATTTTAGTTGCATCGAAATTAAACGTCATTGTCCACAATATTTCTAGCGATAACTGAACAATTTTTATGGAGAATAGGTCAAGTTTTGCACATTTTATAAAAAGTTGTATACAGTTTTGTTTTATAATTCCACTTTTAATTTGTTCATGTTGAGCGAGCACTAGATAAGTTTTGAAAACGAGTTTTCTCATCATTAAGGTGAAACTGTGAATTAGAACAACACAATTATTACAAAACTATATAGCTACGTCTAACGTAAGTTAAAAACCTGAAGCTATCGAGAAAATCCACTTCGTCTTGTCCACAAGCCTTCTTGTTCTTTATGATAAAAACGTACTGAAAAATCATCAAGTGAGTTCCTCAACTCAATATTTTCGAATACTTAAAAAACAACTGGTTGTTTTTTATAATCCACATCTATGATCGCATTCGATTCGCGCAATCTCACAAAAATATAATTCCTTGTTTACCTTCCTTCCTACATCAGGTTAGTCAAATCTAAAACTATTTCTTTACAAGCACTCTTGTTCTCCACTTTAAATTTAAAGAAAAAATGGATTTACCGACCGATCCGAAGTAAATTAAACTTCTGTTTTATCATATGTTCCTGCCACCCATTTAAAAAAGCATCGTTCCAAATATTTTTGAATAATTAATTACTGATGTAAAACAGTAAGATGATTTGTAAGTTATCTACTTTTAATTCCTTACTAGTTTGCTTTTTTTCTAATGAAATCTGCTAGTTTAGTTTCTGTAAGTTCCAGAGAATTATTTTTAAAAACATAACTCTTACCTCGATGTCGTTATATTTGACTCAAGAATTTTATTTTACAATATAAAGACAACTACTGGAAATAATTGAAACAAAGCATTTAATCAAGAAGACTACGCCAAATTTCTAAGTGCTGTCTCTTTTCTCTAACCAACAGTGGTTTTTAGCTACATAAATTCTGCATTTACAACAACTGTTCAGCGACTAAAGGCTATGTGTTATGGACCGCAATGAGATGTTTCTGTTCACAAAATTTTTTGTTCTGTAGGATACGAAAATTCCTTAGAGATTGCCTTGAAACTCTTTCGTATGATATTTAAACTTTTTTATTATCAGTGATTTATCGCATCTGACACGATGGATTCACCGACTTTTCTGCGGATTACGTACCCTCTTATCAACTTCTCACCTAAACAAATATCGTCTCTCTGATGAAATCTGGTGATTCACTCTCATGTAGGCATGCAACGGTTATTTTTTTGGGACTCTCAGGAGTAGTAGTTTTAAAAATTGGAGAAACATTCCAAAACATTTTCGAGTCGGCAGTTTTGTGCAGAAATGTTTGCTCTACGAAATAAGACGCTGCAGGCTTTCTCATGGTGATTCG